CTGTGAAAGATTTTGCTTTGGGCCCCCCCCCCCCTCCCAAGAGGGGGGGGTGGGAGCGGATCTTACTGGCCCACCAACCCCCCTAACAGTCAGCCCAACATCAGTCTCTGTACAGAGGAGCTTAAACTCCAATGTCCCCCCACAGTCATACACTATTATTATACATTTATATAACTCTGACATATACCGCAGTGCTGTACAGGGAACACTGAGCCAGTCACATCAGTCTCTGTACAGAGGAGCTTGCACTCTGATGCAGAATGGCAGCAGCTGTAGGGGGACTACAAATCCCAGTAATACATTATACAGCAATGCACAACAGTATATGAATTGGTCTCAGGACTTTGCAATGCACTGGACTCAGGGCTTAGTAACGCACTGGACTCAGGACGCACCTGAGGCCCCGCAGAGCCCACCTGAGGCCTCCTACAGCCCACCTTAGAGTGACCCTGCAGAGCCCACAATAGATCCCGCACAGCCCACCTGAGATGCTCAATGGTTGGCTCTGCAGGCTTTCAAGTAGGCGGTGGGGCCCGGCCTCGTCCACTGTAGGAACGGCATTGCTGGAGCCCGGCCTCCTCTTCCGCTGCCGGACCGCCACTGATGAGCCGGCCTCCTCCACCGTCAGACCGCTGCTGCTGGACCCCGTCCTCCTCCCCCGTCAGTGTACCCCCCCAGCCTTGGCCCTGCGGCAGCCGCACCGGCTACACGGCCGGTAGTTCCTCCCCTGGTCCTTCCTCTGAAAGGAGCGAATGAAAAGCTCCACACTTCCTTTGGAAACTAAGGCACTGATTGGCTGCTCAAAAGAGATGCAGCCAATTAGTACCTCTGCCTTACACTGGTGAACATAGGGAAATGGAATTGCTGGCCCTGTGGGCACCCAATTATTTAAATGGAAATGGAAAAGCTGGCCCTGTGGGCACCCAATTATTTATGGCAGCACCATAAGGAAGCTTGTTTTTCTGACACTCCTGACCTGCATATTTCTTTCATCAGCTAGCGTTTTTAGAATGCCGTGAGCAATGACAACCCCACTGTTTTTCCCATGAAGGCTTCATTTGAATAATTAGTAGGTGCACTGCAATAATTCCTCCACCCATGTATGTGATCTTCTAATAGATCGTGTATATACATGTATAAAACATATGCATTCATTTAGTAACTGTGCCCCAATTCGCTAATAAGGGTTTGTGGTTGTTCAGGACAGCACAAGGCAAGTCTTAGGGTGCCCACTCCCTGCGAACATTCGCACAGTGTGTGCCGCTGTCGGCACCCTTTTGGCCGACATCCCTCAAATCAGCTGATCGAAGTAGCAGGACGGAAAATCTTCGTACGACAAGAGCCTGCAGCCAGTGAGCTGTCAGAATACAATGCAAACATAATAGGTTGGACTTGATGGACTAATGTCTTTATTCAACCTCAAATACTATGTAACTATGTAAACAGCAGGTTTCCTCGATCAACACACTTGTACTGTAGTGTTGATGGAGGAATCTTCTCTAATTTTTTCGTGCAGCCCGCGGGATTGAACGTAAGAGATAGAGCAGTGCGTCCAGCCTTAGAGCATTAGCGTCAAGGGCAAAACTATGGGCTTGTTCACACCAGCCCGCATGCATTATGCTCCTTATATTGTGTGCACGCTGGTGCTGGTTGTGCAGGGACGGTGCGATGTTACAAACTTTTTTTTATCCCTTTTTTTAAACTCTTTTGAAATGTCACATAATGACACTTCATTCAACCCAATAAAATGCGATGACGTGCATTGCGGCAGCATTTTTACCCACCATATGGTGTGAACAGGGCACATGCATAGACACAGTCGGGGGCATTGATCAAAACTAGAGCAGACAGAATGTGGAGCAGTTGCCCATGGCAACCAATTAGCTTCTCTCTTCCGTTTTCGCTCAGGTAAGATTTGAAAATGAGAGAGAGAAGCTGATTGGTTGCAGTGCAAATCTGCTCCAGATTTTGTCTGCTCCAGTTTTGATAAGTTTTCCCCCCAGTGCCGTCATAAGAGGGGTGCAGCCTACACCGGGTGACGCCATCAGAGGGGAAACATATGTATTCCCTGGAGATCCGATATTACTAAGTAAATCCCCTTGTGTATGATTGGAACTGGTCATCAAGGTCATGTAACCAAAAATTGCATAGCCAAAAGGAGGAGGCAGTGTTCCAAGTGAGGATCACTGAAAAAAGTGGTTACTAAATAGACCGAGACCAGTAATTCTATATAAAAGTATACATTTTATTGTAACAAAAATCATCAATTACCGCACCATCAAAACCACTTCTCAATAATTTTATAAAAGAACAGCGTTGTTCGTAGCACTCAAACACTCATTCATTCATCCTATGGGCCCCACACAGTCTACGGCAAAGCTGAAACCTTCATGGTTCAAAGGGGGAATACTCCCTGTTGAGCACTTGGTTCCTATCAATAATTATGCCCCTAGTGGACGGTGATATTGGATCGGAAGAAGTGTTGCAGGTCAACTTTAAAATGTAGCTGTTTTTTTCTGCAGGTGATACATCAGGGGGTACTATGAGTGGTATCTGTTTGTTAATAATTGAAAAAAGGAAGTCTCTGTGATCAATGCGACTTGTGGATAGTTGAATCCAATGGTATCAAATATGTGTTCATTGACCTCCACATACAGACCTCGTTCATTGATCTATCTTCTGATGTATCGTTCACCTTATTTTATGAGTTATTCTAACATTCCGATAACAGTAATTTCATCCTGGTATTGAATTGTTCAAGGTGGAGACCTGTACAGGACTATTTCATGCTGTATCCCTTCTTTTTGGATTTAGGAAGGCCTGTAGTTAGGCGCTACCGCAGGTATTGGATTTGTCCATTGCCACTTCAGGATGTCTGTAGGGAAGTTATGTATGGTTCATAACTCAAATAACACATCCTTCCATCACCGTTGTTCGGGGAACGAAATCCTCAAGGGAGCTGCCGTCTGTGCGGGTCACATAGTATGTATATCATACATTCAAGGGTAGAGGCGTTTCGCCCCGCCCATCGGAGCTTCGTCAGAACCTTGTGGATGGCTGGTGGATGGTTGCCTTAAATAACCCTTTCACACCTGCTAGGTAATTGCATCCAAGATGTATATTTAATGATAACGTGTTAGTGAGGGCTACATACTTATAAGAAACACCATCTGCCTATTCTTTCATACCGAAAGCATTCAACAGACAGGGATATTCATATTCGAACACTATCTAGGTATAAAAAACTGCCAAGTAATTGTCTAATTGGGCAACACTGTGGAGGAAGAGTAAGTGATTGGATTGATCTATATATCTAAGAGAGTAAAGGTATATTTACATTGTTATTATATTGGGGTGCATCTTTTTAGAGAAAGACATTCAGGTTCATTTTGTTGTTTAGGCCTGCGGGTATTAGGGTATTCAGCCTGTACACCCACATTTTTTCTTTCTGTAGGAGTATTTTGTCAAAGTCTCCTCTTCTTGGTGGCAGGTTTAAGGCATAAATACCCTTCACCCTCAGGCCTCCTGGGGAAGAATTATGGTAATCTGCAAAGTGTATTGCTATGGGGCTATCTATATCTTTATTTTTTATATCCCTTAAATGTTCTCCTATACGTATACGTAACTGTCGTTTTGTTTTCCCAACATATGCTTTTTTACATGGACATTCCAACATATATATTACTTTATCTGTATTGCAATTGATAAATTGAGTAATTTGATATGACTTTATACCCTCTGAGTCTTGAAAATGTTTAGTTTTCTCCACATATGGACATATGTGGCATTTACCACAGGAATACATTCCTTTTATTTTTGGTAACCCTGACAAGAACGAAGTATCTTTACTTGGCCTATATTCGGAATTTACTAAATGATCTTTTACATTTTTAGCTCTTCTTGCTGTCAGGAGTGGACGGGGGCCAACAATGTCAGTGAGTGTCGGGCACAGATTGAGAACATGCCAATGTTTTTCAAAGATTTGTCTCAACTTTGGCCAGCCTGACCCATATTGTGTGATCATTCTTACATGGTTACCATCTTTTCTTTTGGTTCCCCCTCCTTGTTGTTTTTACCCTTTTTGTTTTTTTTATTAATTTTTATTATGTATTTCTACTGTTGGGGTGGGGTTTGGGGAAATATTAAGGGTCTAAATAGACCCCTGCCATTTCCCTTTTGAAATAGAAAAAGAGATTGAGGACACAGAGTCCTCTGCCAATACAGGTGGGGGAGAGCAGCGGAAAACCTAGGAGAAGCTGGAGCCTGTACCGCTCCTCTTCTCCCTACTGAGCCGTGGCTGTGTTGGCCGCCTGTTGCCAATGGCGCCCTGTGCGTAGCCCTGGGTGTCAGCCATATATAATCACCAGGAGCTGCACAAGTCAGTGTGGAGATTGTCAGTCATCTGCTGACATCATGTTCTGGAGGGAGAGATGGCTCCTGTGCGCCTTGTTGCTCCTGGGCTTCGTTGCTGGAGGGAGATCGGAGCTGTGAGTTAAAGTTTTGAGCTGAACTAGCAGTAGGGGCTCCTGTGTGTTATGACACGTGTGATGCTTTCGGCCAAGGTCGCACTTGCGTGATCTGTAACCGCGTGGCAATCGCGCATGAAACGCGTGGATTGCTGTGCGCTCACAGTCCCACCACCACTGATCGTGCTGGTGGTGCTATTCTTTCCTAATGGCACCCCGGGCAGATCGTGCGGTTTTCCACTCCGATTCGGCCCCGACGATCAAACACAATCGCGGCAACAAAAAAAAAAGTGTCGCAAAAAAAGGTACATGTACCTTTTTTTAAGTGATTGCTGCGCAGATGTAACCGCATTGAAATCAATGGGGCCGTGTAGCAACTGCTGTGTACAGGTGCACACGATCGTGTGGTCCCGGGATCACTCAGGTCTGCGCCAGCCTTTGTGTGAATTTGTAGTGCTGTAAACTAAAGCTGGTCATATGCTATTAGATTTTTTTTTTTTTCTGAGTGAAAATAATCTAGCAGGTTCTTCCGTCCATGCTAAACAACATGTATGGATGAATCTCCCTCTGAGGCTATTACATTCTGACAGCTGGCTCCTGCTGCTGTCAGAATACACACAGTGAGTGCAGCTGATTGCAGTGTATGACGTTTAGGCCTGCTTGTGGAACTGAGATAGAAATTGCCCCAGGCCAATTGCAACCTCCTTATGGAAGCAGAAACCTCTGTACCTCTTTCTAACTGTTTCACACACAATAGGTTGGACTGATGGACTTATGTCTTCAACAAAAATAAGATACATTGTTGTTCATAGTTAGGGTACCTAAAAGTATTTTTAAGATTAAACTCCTGAGTTTAGTGTCACTTTAAGCAAATTTAGAAAAAAAAAATAGTTCTGTATTTTGTTTAAATCCATTACTTTAAATGCAAATAATTACAGGTGAAACTCGAATAATTAGAATATCGTGCAAAAGTAATTGCTGCAAAAGGGGCCCAAACCAAGTACTGAGTACATATGCATGCTTGTACTTTTCAGAGGTCCGATATTGTTCTATGTGCAATCCTTGTTTTATTGATTGCATGTAATAATCTACTTTTTTGAGGTTGTGGATTTGGGGTTCTTGGGGTTTTCATAAGCTGTAAGCCATAATCATCACAATGATGACAAATCACGGCTTGAATTATCTTGCTTTGCATGTAATGAGTCTCTCTCATATATTAGTTTCACCTTTTAAGTTGCATTAGTGAAATAAATGAACTTTGCACGATATTCTAATTATTCGAGTTTCACCTGTAAGTCCTTGATTTAAAACCGCCTCCTACAAATGTATTGTGTAGTTATTTAGAAATGTTCCTGATGCCCATCTATACGTCTCGGACACTTGTACAGAGTGTGCTCTATTAGAGGGTGATGGAGTTGTTGTGTATATTTACACAGCTGTGTACCCGGGCACATGAACGGCTCGGCGTGGCACATCCAGAACTACAAAGCCAATTGGTGTAAAGTTGGACAATTGGTGAACTGGTGCATGACTGAACTCCTCTCTATACTGGGGACACAGGCAGCAAAAATACCCTCATTTGATTCCTTCCCTCTCCCTCCCCTTGTTCACACCATCTGTAGGCAACCTGGCTTCCTCACCAATCAGGAAGCCGGGCAGCATGCTCAAATGCAAGACCAGATGATTTTCCTTCTCGTGTCACCTATTTGCACACAGCAGTGGTACAACAGCATCGTCAGAGGTATAATAAATATTAGGGATATGCCGATGCTAGTATCAGTGTCGATACCAAATATTTGGGTGAGTACTCGTACTCTCCCAAATGCTCCGATACCTTCCCCCCGATACTGGAAGTTCCGTTCAGGGGGAGATCTCCCTCTGACCGGCAGTGCCACGAGGGTATATGGAGCAGACTTCCTGGCCAATCAAAAGGCGGGCGGCAGGTTATGACCTGCCTCCCATATTGGTCAGGAAGCCAGGCTGCCTAGCAACAAGTGAACCTTGCCGCCTGGCTTTCTGATTGGCTAGGAAGCCAGCTTTAATAAGAAAGCCGGCGCACGTCTGGTTGGTAGACGTCCAGCCAGGCTGTCTAGCAACCAATGAAGCTGCTTCCTAGCCAATCGGGAAGCCAGGCTGTCTCGCTGTATCACGAGGGAAGTGAAGCCGGTGTTGGCCCCTGATAATCCGGGCCAACGGATGCCGGCATTGGCGAGTACCGCGGGGGGGAATTGGTACTTGATACTGAAAAACTGGTTTCGGTGCATCCCTAGTAAATTATTTACAGATGTATTTAAAATATATTTTTATCTGCATTAACAGAGTCATTACAGGGAATATATTCAACAGACGTTGACAAAACCCCATTGGAGAAATGTCTTGTGTGCTGGCCAGATGTGAGAGGGAATCTTCCTACCGGGGACACAAATAGCAAATCTACCCTCCTACTATTCCCTTCCACTCCATCATTTTTCCTTTCTATCTCCCCATCTCCAGACTCTCTATCATCTCCCTCCCTTCCAATCTGTCATCTTTGTCCAGACTCTATCATCCTCCTTCCATTCTATCCCTCTCTTTGTTTTGATTGAAGTTGTTTACATCCCAACTTCATATCACATTTGTGATGTTTGGTAAACATTCTGCAGACAGTTGTGTTTTACCTTCACAGAGCACTGAAGTATAGTCAATATTTACAGATCTTTTTAGAATATTTTCTTTCATTAACAGATTTATTACATTTAGAAAAAATATTTACAACAGAAAAACGCCAATGAAGAGATTTCCTGTGTCCTGGTCAGAAGTGAGAGGGAGTTCCTTTTTGCCTCTCTATCTCTAGTCTCTCTATCTCCTCACGTCCAGACTCTATCATCTCCCTTTTGTCTATCATCTCTCTATCTCCAGTCTATTATCTCTTCTTCTCTCTGTCTGTTTTTGGCTGAAGTTGGGTTGTAAACAGAACCCCACATTCGTGATGTTTGGTCAAAGTGCTGCAGACAATTGTGTTTACCTTCACAGTCCACTGAAGTATTGTAAATATTATACAGATCGCTTTAAACTATTATCTGTATCAACAGATTCATTACATTAAGAAAAATATACAACAGTGTTTTTGTCTTTTTCGCCTAGGAAGGCCTGGACTGACCCTCAGGTGTTTCACCTCCATTCAGGTCCAGTGATGAGCTGCTTCTAAGGTTTATGGGAACCTGCTCCGGTAGTTGCCATGCGTAGAATAGATGCAAAGCCCAAACTACACCCTGTGTAATGATTCCGATGCCAGAAGAAACAGACGCCAGTATGACCCACCCTGTGCTAGCGGGTTACAGCTTTCCTTTAAACAAAAGCTGTCATGCTAATCTGGCACGGTATCATACGGGTGTCAGTTTCTTCTGGCACAGAAATCCTGGCACAGGGTGCGGTTTGGGCTCTGCATCGGAATCCTGGCACTGGGTGCGCTTTGGGCTCGGCATCTATTCTACACAGGGTAGCTAAATTTTCATGGAGCCAAGGTTCAAATCGCGGTCCGGACAGAACGGCATCCATACCGCGGTCCGCCATTTAGGCGGCATTCACACCAGCAGCTGCACTACAACACACAGCTGCTGGTGTATGCTTCTATGCACGGTGCTGTTGCACCAATCCCAGAGCGTCACACTGTTTATTTTTGTCAGAACTCCCCAGACCGCCCTCCCACACCGTTTGCATACACATGCATGCCTTGTGCGCACATGTTCATTAGAATCAGATGGCAGGGTTGGTTTTAATTCCTTTTTTATTAATAATAATAACAACAACAACAACTGGGATAACAAGCCCCATACCTGACTGCATTTGGCAGTGACTGGTTCTCTTTATAGAGACCTCAGGGGTCTATTACATCTCTGATGTTTCTGCTGCCGTCTAGCACAGACAATTAAGCAAGGGAATGTTCATCTGTTTACCCGGCATTTCATCTCACCTTGACACCTGAAGCAGGAAATGCCGAGAGCTTCATGCTTCAATGATCACGGAGCAGGTCAGGGAGCGGCCATTCCCTGGTCTGCTCCCGCTCGCCATCCTGATACTATGTGTGCTGTGGTCCTGGGCCCCCCAGAGGAGCGGGGGGGGGGACCCAAAAACCACGGTAGAGTGGGACAGAGAGAAGCCCAACAGCAGACTAGCACAAGTGATCTGGGTGGCTGTACTTGTCGCCCTGATGGAAGTGACTCTGCTTGGCCCAGAAACACAACATCAAGTAAGGTTCGAAGGCACTATAGCTGTGATCATCTGACCTTGACAATAAATGTTGGGTATTGGTAGAGAGGGGACACACCATAAGTGATAGGAGTACCTGAGATGTAGCAGAGTACAGTTGTCTGGATGGCTTTATAAACCAAGGCTGCTGCTATGCCTTTTACTTGATACGTGAGAGTTGGGATGTAAGCATTTCACTGAACAGGTGGTTTCCATGTACAGGAGGATTTAAACTGGGACTTAAGGTGCCATCCTGTTTAATTATGATTTTTCTGCATGTTCATGCAGAAGTTAGGAATGTTTTCATGTTTTTCTCTCCGCATTCCAAAACCATTGAGGCCAGGTTCATACTAGGGCAGGGGTCAGCAACCTGTGGCTCCGGAGCCGCATGTGGCTCTTTCATGCCTCTGCTGCGGCTCCCTGTCCAGGTGTTCAGTCCTGAAATGTCACTTCTATCCGACTTTGTGATTGGGGTGGAATGTGAGATCGCACTCACAGAGTCAGATAGAAGTGACATTGTGAGGGGTCTGGGCAGCCTCTTACATGAGTATCAGCTGTACCAGGGGCGGCATGGCAAAGGTGACAGGGGAGGGGGTGGAGGAGGCCGGGCCCCAGCAGCTGCAGGTAGGAGGAGTTGGGAGGAGGTACAGGGAAAGGTACCCCGGCAACCAGTCCATGTGAGACCCTGCAGAGCTCACCATAGAGAATCTCAGATGGGCTGTGCAGGATCTATGGTGTGCTCTGCGGGGTCACTCTCAAGTGGGCTGTGCGGGGTCTCAGGTAAGCCAAGAGTCCTGAGCGTTACTGAGCCTAGAGTCCTGAGCGTTACTAAGCCCAGAGTCCAGAGCGTTACTAAGCCCAGAGTCCAGTGTGTTACTAAGCCCAGAGTCCAGTGTGTTACTAAGCCCAGAGTCCGGTGCGTTACTAAGCCCACATATACCTATATACATGCTATACATAGCATAAAGGTAAAAAAAAAAACGATATATGCCGTGTTATCTTCATTTTAGATGTCAAAAGGGTTTTGTGGTTCCCGGGGTTTTCTTTTCTGTGGGAAACGGGTCCTAATGGCTCTTTGAGTGTTTAAGGTTGCTGACCCCTGTACTAGGGCAATCCGTGACTACGTGGCCAACGTGCACAAAATCGCACAGATGGCCGCACGGTCACAAAATCGCACACCACCGCCAAATCGCTCTGGCGCTGCCATTATTTTCTAATGGCACCTCAGTCATGCTAGGTGGATCGAGCGGGATACCTCCCGTGCAATCATGCACAATTGTGGTTGAAAAAACTGCACTGAGCGTGTAAATGTACCTTTTTTTTCTCATTGATTGCTGCGCTGATATAACTTTATTGAAATCAATGGGACAATCGCTGTGCGCGCTCCCGGGATCGCCGATATGTGAACCTAGCCATCGGAAAGGAAAACATCTGAACCAAGAATAATTTTACCTGACGCAAGAGATCACTGAGCTTGGTCTTTATAAATCTGATGCTTCTATGACCATTCTCCCCTCGTTTGACTTTTTCTCTACTCCTTATGTGGCTCACTGTATACCCCCCCCTTTTTCCCCAAACCTTCACTAACCATTTATCTTTGTAGATGGTTTATCTGCTTTATATGATACTTTTCATGGTCATCCCCCCATACCCTCCCCCAATCAACATGCTAATGAAAGGAGGGTGTGGATCTCCCAAAAGCTTGCCCTAAAATATAAACTGTACGGCACATAAAAAGTTAAATCGCATGCAGTGCTGCATTATATTACATATTAATATACTGTTGCAATGGGCTGTGTTTTTGGAAGGCAAGCACGGACAGCTGTGTCCTTGCACTGTACAGGACTGAGTTGTCGGACTGACAGTTCAGTCCTGCAGATTACACAGGAAGAGCACAGTCCTCCCTGTGTAATCAGAAGAACTCTACCTTCTGTTTGCTCCTGATTAACAAAGCGGAGAGATTGTCACCATGAGCTGCTATCCCTGTTTAATCTGCAGCAGCCCTTCACAACAAGGGTGTTGCGTGTTGTGGCATCCTGTGATATCATCTTGCCTTCTCAGGAATACTGTGACATTTTTGCACAGCGTCATGTTTCTATGGCGCAATTGGGCCAGCCACCAGCCCTGTGGAAGCGTATGCATCCAGGACCACTCCAAACTTTTGGAAGAGGAAGGAAGCCCACCTCCATCCAGACCTGCTCTACCTCCTGCCATGCTGCTGCAGCAGTGCGGTGGTGGACACTGGAAGTTGGGACTCTGATGTGGGAATCCTATGTGTCTTTTGTGGTGTGGGGCCCCTCCTAAAATCCATAAATGATCCTTGTGATTGATTTACTGAAAGTGTTCAACATTATCTCTGCACTTTTTTTTCCCCTGTCTGTCTACTTTAGGGAAACAGCTTTGCTGACTTTGCATCATACACTCCTGCACACCTCTGCACTTCTCTCCTGAAATTACTGCCCTCAGTCTTGCCGTACATACTGCCCCCTGCCATAACCTCCGCACTCCTCTCCTGCATGTTCTAGCTGACTTCATACCCCCTACAGTCACTGTTATACCCTCTGCACACCTTTTCTTAACATAATGCCTGCCGTCCTACCCTATGCACATATTGCCCTATGGCGCATTCCCCACACTCCTCCCCTGCACATAATGCCCCATGTCGAATCCTATGCACTCCTCTCCTGCACATACTGCCCTATGTCTTCCTCTGTACTCCTCCCTGTCCTGCCTATAATGCCTCATGTCATATACACCGCACTTCTCTCCTGCACATTCTGCCCCATGTCAATTCCTCTCCTGCACATACTACCCTCCAAAATTTGTGCACATCTGTTCTGAAAATATTGGACTCAGTCATACCCTCCACACCATGCTTCTGTACATGCTGCCCCCTGTACATGCTGCCCCCTGCACGTCTCTCCTGCACATGCTGACCACTGTCATACTTTTTGCACACGCTTTAATGCTTGGCGGGCACCTTCATGCTGCTAGGTTTCTCCATGTATTAAGTTGACATAAGGTTTTCTCCAGTGGAGAGGATCTGTATTGATTGGATGGGTGCAAAGCAAAGGCATAGTGGACTGGCCCCTTGGATAAGCAAGTGCACACAGGTAGTGCAATGCTGGGCTCGGTAGAATGCAGCGATGCTCAAGTTTGGGTCTACAGAAAGAGCTCTAGACTGCTGGAATGTAAACAGCAGTGAAGGTATAGCCATGATCCTTTGCATGGTTGAGCTGCTTGTTACGAGAGGGAAAGAAAAAAAAAACCAACAAAAAACCCGCAACACATAAAGAATACAACAGGGTGAGAAGGAACATTTTAGAGGAGGGTCAGAGAACCTTAAACTGCAACATGGGCAAAAGCAGAGACTGGAATTACAAAAGGGAGATCAGTTTTTGGTTGGCTTGACGTTTGACCAGACCTGGTGGCATCTAATAAAAATAAATAGGGGAGGGGTTTCATAAAATCAAATAAAGATCACCATTATCTGTTGTGGTTACAACTGCTACATTTTGGCTGGAGTTTGTAAGTAATATGTGTCAACTTTTGTATAATCCACCCTCGTTCTTACTACAATATTTATTTCCCCTTCTGTTTATAGCCAATATGTCCTGAGCTCACCTGCCTCTTTGCTTAGTGGTGAGACGGGAAAGGCCTGCGTGAACATTGTGGGCAACACAGAAAAGTTGGATGTAAGTCTGATATTGCAGCATGAAGGAAAGAACACAACCATTATTGGAGAAGATGTCTCCTTGCCTTCATACTTCCAGTGTGCTGATTACAAGGTAAGACTTTGACTGTAGCTTGGCAAGGAGATTGCTCTATATCGCAACACTTTATGCTCCACGAATACACCAACATGGTAAAAAACACTTAACTATTGGTTATCTGATAATTACAGGTTCACATGATGTGCCACCATAATGGGTTGACTCCCAAAACCAGCATCTTTATCGTGCGCACACACTGAGCTTTAGACTGAAATGGTGGTTTAGCATGGCTGGACCCTGTGCAAGCATGACTATTTACAGGGCAACAAAGCTCTGCAGGCTCAAACACTGCCATACTTAGAGCAATAAGGAGTCCAATGGCTGTGAGGTGAACTGAATGATAGTCCCCTTAGATCTGTTTCTTTGGAAGCTGCTTTTTAAAAACTCAGTATAGAGTATGTGAAGCCCCATGCATTGCAAGCCTTCCTAGGAGAGCACTTTGAGCTTTGGTTGGTGATCACCCAAGTGCCGGGCCTGGAGTAGCCGTGCAGTACCTTGGCACAAAACGGTGACTTGCTGTAACAAGTGTATGAAGTACCTGCCATGCCAAATTTGGCCCTGCAGAGCCCATGAAAGAGATATTAACATTAGTTATCTGTATCCATCCCTCCTCTCACTAAAGCATTTATTTTTTCTTCACCTCCTTTTTTTTTTTTTACCGACATACTTGTACCACCCCAGCAGAAATCAACCCTTCCTCAACACTGCACAGTGCCACCCCCTTCTCCATACCTGTACCCTCTTTCAGCCATGTGTGAACATTCCTCCCTCCTGCTTATGCTCTATCCTCGCAGGAGGTGCACCCCCCCTTCCTTGAGATCCAATAACTCTATGCCACATGCGCCAAACCCTTCTCTCACTGCTATGCCTGTAGCCCCCTCCCCCGCCCCATAATGCCTCCCCAACCCTGTTTGTTCTGGAATGCGCACAATTTTGCTAGTATGTATGTACGAATTCATTTTTTTTCCCCCTTCTTGCAGTGAATATGCGGATTATCTGCCTTAATTCTCAACTTAAGCCTGTGACTGAGAAGGTGAGTGACTAAACTGGAAATCTTAGTTCCGAAATTGCATGAGAAAAGCACAGGTTGTTTTTTAAGATTACAAAAATTCAAATTTTAGTGTGTGTTTGCGTGTGTTTATAGGTCTCCCAGGTTCCTCTCCTATACATTTAGGAATTGCTGATCCAGGCTCCAGTGCAGGGTTTACTCCACTGGCAATTAAGGCCCCATTCCCACTAAGCGATTTATCGCACATTTTTGAAGCGCGATATCGCAAGAAGTCGCCGACCAATGCTATTCAATGGAGCTGTCTTAGCTCCATGTCGCTCTAGCAGGACCCTTTTTTTGGCGGATTTTTTGGGGTTTTCCAATGGAACACGACGGTGGAGGTTGCGCTACCGTCGCCCCGATAGTTGCGCTATCCCGGCCACGTGGATCCGCTGCAAAAGGTATGTCGCTTAGTGGGAATGGGGCCTAAGCTCACCTCGAACCTGTACTCAGAGCTCTCTGCCTGGGGATCAGACAAGTCCTGTCTGAGAGAGCTGCAAGGTTTGTAACAAAACTAGCAAATGGTGTATGTGGAGGCTGACAAGCGGTAGGCCTGCTCAAGCCTGTTAGTTAGGACTTAGGGCTAGTTCACACCAGATGCAGTCCATTTATTTTGACTGCTGCAGTCAAAATACATCACAATGCTTTCCTATGGCCTTTCTTTTGCCTAATTCACATCATTGCAGTCAGTTCAACTGCAGTCAGAAAAAGTACTGCTTGTCCTACTTTAACTGCATCAAACTGCATCAAAACATATTGCAAATGCACAAACGCATAAAAAAATTATGACTCAGATTTGAATGTCATCATCCTGGGACTTCCTGGTTGTAGTGTGGCGAGAGATAGTAGAGATGGAAGGTGTGGATGCTGAGGAATTTATAAGATATGTGCGGGACTGTCCTCTGCTGTACGACATCAAACATCCCCCAATATAAAAACAATCGTCAGAAGATGGCCAAGTGGAGGGAGATTTGTGAAAAGTTGAACCCTGATTTTGGTGCGATGAACAGGGTACAGAAACAGCAATGTGGTGAGTCCACCTTTGCTCAAACATATATAAAGAAAGCATGACTATGCTCCCAAACGAACAAAACAAGTGTAGGAAATGCTCTGACAGGAAAAGGATGTGACCTACATGCTTAATTAGCATTTTCTAGTGCAGAACAAAAACGCATTGCAAGTGCCACTGCGCAGGCGCACGCAGTTGTGATGTTTTTTCTGGTGTGAATTAAGCCTTATACTTTGGTTTATGAAGTTAGTGCCGGGATACGGCTAGGATTTATTTTGTTAGTGTTTTTTTGTGAACCACTGTACAGCACCTGTGGAGACTTGTAAATATCACCAATAAACACTTGCCAGTAGTTTGCCACTACTCCCTTGGATTTGGGATCTGTTCCCAAGAGACTGCTTATTCCCAGGGGGCTTATGTACCAGCTACCGATTGCCTGCTTATAGATAGATAGAGAGATGGAGATGGATAGATGGATAGATGGCTATAGAGATGGATAGATGGCTATAGAGATGGATAGATGGCTATAAAGATGGATAGATGGCTATAGAGATGGAGAGCTGGCTATAGAGATGGATAGATGGCTATAGAGATGGATAGATGGCTATAGAGATGGAGAGTTGGCTATAGAGATGGATAGCTGGCTATAGAGATGGATAGCTGGCTATAGAGATGGAGAGATGGCTATAGAGATGGAGAGATGGCTAGAGAGATGGCTATAGAGATGGAGACATGGCTAGAGAGATGGCTATAGAGATGGAGAGATGGCTATAGAGATGGAGAGATGGCTGGAGAGATGGCTGGAGAGATGGCTAGAGAGATGGCTACAGAGATGGCTGGAGAGATGGCTATAGAGATGGAGAGATGGCTATAGAGATGGAGAGATGGCTAGAGAGATGGAGATATGGCTGGAGACATGGCTAGAGAGATGGCTATAGAGATGGAGAGATGGCTATAGAGATGGAGAGATGGCTGGAGAGATGGCTGGAGAGATGGCTAGAGAGATGGCTACAGAGATGGCTGGAGAGATGGCTATAGAGATGGAGAGATGGCTATAGAGATGGAGAGATGGCTATAGAGATGGAGAGATGGCTATAGAGATGGAGAGATGGCTATAGAGATGGAGAGATGGCTAAAGAGATGGAGAGATGGCTATAGAGATGGCGAGATGGCTATAGAGATGGAGAGATGGATAGATAGATAGATAGATAGAGATGGCTATAGAGTTGGAGAGATGGCTATAGAGATGGAGAGATGGATAGATAGCTAGAGATGGCTATAGAGATGGAGAGATGGATAGAGATGGAGAGATGGATAGATAGATAGAGATGGCTATAGAGTTGGAGAGATGGCTATAGAGATGGAGAGATGGATAGATAGCTAGAGATGGCTATAGAGATGGAGAGATGGATAGAGATGGCTATAGAGATGGAGAGATGGATAGATAGAGATGGCTATATAGATGGAGAGATGGATAGATAGAGATGGCTATAGAGATGGAGAGATAGATAGATAGATAGATAGATAGATAGATAGATAGAGATGGATAGATGGATAGATAGATAGAGATGGCTATAGAGATGGCTATAGAGATGAATAGATGGATAGAGATGGCTATAGAGATGGATAGATGGATAGAGATGGCTATAGAGATGGATAGATGGATAGATAGATAGAGCTGGATAGATGGATAGAGATGGCTATAGAGATGGATAGATAGATAGATAGATAGAGATGGCTATAGAGATGGATAGATGGATAGATAGATAGAGATGGCTATAGAGATGGATAGATAGAGATGGCTATAGAGATGGATAGATGGATAGAGATGGCTATAGAGATGGATAGAGATGGCTATAGAGATGGATAGATAGATAGATAGATAGATAGATAGATAGATAGATAGATAGATAGATAGATAGATAGATAGATAGATAGAGAAAGATAGGTAGATAGAGAGATAGATAGCTTGTGTAGACATCCAAAAGCTATCTTGGATGTGATATCAGCAGCCCCAGATTTCTAGCTGGCGCTCTAGAGACATTCTATAGATGGAGTAGGCAACCTCAGCACTGCAACAGTTTGGAAGCTACACATCCCATCATGCTTCTGCCTTTGGGAGTCATGCTTGTGGCTAACAGAAGATGTATTGCTGCCCTCCTTACCAGAATTAATGACCCGCAAGATGCAGGTGGGTGCTCGTAGTGAC